TGTACTTATGTATGAATTGTATAGATAGGTTTAATGTACATGAAACAGAAAACTTTTTTGCAAGATTGACCAATGAGAACTCAGGTCGGTCTAATGACCAGATCGTATTAATATCATAGAAATCTATCAGAATGTGATTCACACGTTATTTTGATTCTCATGCAACTGTTAAATGTCAGCATGAGAACACAGAATACTTATAAATGGTTAACTTGTATTTCTGAAAACCAACTAACATTTGGAGCACGCGTAAAAAGTTTTCTTGTTTTCAACGCGAAAATTAAGCGATTGCGTTGCGTAAACAAAAAACTTGTATTAAAGCACCAGCGATTTCTTGTTCATTACGTACTTATCTTTCACTTTATTCTTTTATTCACATATTGAATGTCAATGGTTTCAAGTACGGAAATGGTGACTAAACGAGAAGTTTTAATTTTTGGCAAGACCCCACTTGGAGTAAGCGTTCAGAAACTAACTGCTTTGTTATTATTGTATACTTTGTTACTGATGCTTTGGCTTTATAACTTCTTATCAGTTTTTTATGAAACTTGGCATAGCCCAAGTGAGTATTTACACACCTAATATGTTGTTTCTTTCGTTTTCTAACTTACTAAAAAACCGTTTAATTCTATCTATCCGTTTAACTTACTAAATCGTTTACTTCTATCCATTTTCTGACTCTCTAATACTAAATTGTTTATTCCGACCTACTAATTGTTCACTTTTACCATTTTTCTGACTTACTAAAATGTTTACTTCTATCCGTTCTTACTAATCGTTCGCTTTTTGACTTGCAAAAACTAATTATTTTCTTACCCTACCCAATCAACACATTTGTTTGTAATTACTGTTGGTCTGTATAATACTGTAATAACGATAAATAAAGATCCATATAATTGAGGAAATGATTTACATATTAATATTGAGTAAATGTATTATTACCTTTTTCTTATTTACTGCATAATTAAAAATACCCTTGTCTTATATTAATTTCAATGAGATTTGGATTGACCATAAACTTATAATAACAGTCTCAAATCTACTATAAGATGTTTGCGTTTTTAGACTCGTTAATTAAAATCTAGAAGATTACAAGTTGAAAATATAATTTTTGCTGATATAGTCTAACCTGTTAATGTAAAAAAGCTTTTACATTGCTTCTTGTAAACTTACTCAAAATTTATTCATAATATTAGGTTTAAATTAATATAGATCTAAAAGAAAGCCCTTTTCATCTTGGTTTTTTTGCAAGTTACAATATTAGTCTGTTAAATAAAAAATTTTTTTAAAAAATAATAAAATTACTGGCCGCTATTCTTTTCGCCGGGGACTGTAGTTGTCGTAGCTTCCATCAAAGACACCAATTGATCTCTATATGCTATGACTGCCTCGGCCAAAGCCTCATGAAAGAATGTAACAAAATTTTCAACATCCCTATAAAGTAGCATTTGGTAAAACCGTTCCGTTTAATATCCATTCGCAAGAGAGGGGGAAAAGGTATATAGTCAACTTACTTGGTTGCGTCAAACAGAATCCCATAATTGTCTTTATCTTTATAAACATCTACGTTCTTGTTAAGCTTCTAATAAGCGTATAAGTGACTTATCAATGCTTGAGCAGCTTCACGCAACGCACAATTGTAGTTTCTGCGGAAACAGTATAGCGTAATTTCCCTTTGAAGTCATGAAAAATACTGCGATTTTGGACAAGCAAAGCGTCTTTAGTCATTATCGAGGCCACTGTCAAACACATTACAACAAACTTACCTTCATTGAAGGGGTCTTCTAGATTTTTTAGATTATCATAGAGCAGGATTTTTGGTTGACTCAATAAATCCTCCAGTAACATGTTGGCAATCTCTTGAAATCAATTGTTAAATCCCTTTCTAAAAAGTTCATGCTATGCCAAATCGAAAAGTTTTTGTTCAAAACAAGAGTGCAAACCTAAAATGTGATGGATGCAATTACATTGTTAACGTTTTTGGATAAACTAAAGAGATTAGGTAAATGCAACGTTAGATACTGACCATGTTCCATGACCACAGCACAAAACCCAGACTAGTCGTTTTGGAAACTCGTCCTTTGTCCGACGGTTTTGTTTCATCCACAGCTGCACTCTCATCATGTCTCAAAGCATCCCATAGCACGTATATTGTTCAATTCTCTGGCAGACTTGATATTGACCAGCTGTAACCCTAGCTTTCCTCCTTCAAACTCATCGATGACATGATCAATCCACAAATTCATTCTTAATCTCACATCTTCCTGAAAGAGCAGAATTTTTGGTAATTAAAATGTCAGGTCACCATAATCCGGAATAGCGCAACAACAACGATTGTATAAGTCTCGCTTTCACTAACAAACAGACTAGTATTCTTTGGTGTTGATCGTAATTTGGTGGACTTCTCCTGGCAAGCATTTTTGACGGGTCGGGAAAAAAATGGTGACTAATTAAGATAAAAGGGTAGTCTTCTATTTCTCAGTAGTTGTTAATAAGATTGAGGACTTGTCCGTGAGTTGTAGCAACTGTCGTATGCGCGTAATATGGAAGAATTAACGACAAAAGTGTGTTGCGTTGTGTAGATAACGTTGCATTTGCGCTTTTGAGGGAGAGAGGCTGTTATGAAGCGACCGACACATGTGCAATGGAGAGTAGCGTCTGGGTATATATATATGTATGTATGTACTGTATGTATGTATGTATGTATGTATGTACGTATGTACACGTGTTCGCATGACTGCATGTTAGATGACGAACGAATGGCACATTGATATTGCTTGACATTGTCAATTGCTACCTTATAAGTATAAATGTTGTTTAACACATCATTACATCATATCGTGACTGTAATAATTGTTTCCGTAAATAAAAACAATAGTATCTGTTTCGGAGCACATGCTTGATAAGTCACGTGTATTATTAAGCGCCATATTGGCCCCAATAAACTAACTGGATTCAGTTTTCATAGAGCACAAAAACCAATAGTAAAGCACAGATGGGTATCGTCATGATTGTTCCGTAAATAAGGACAATAGTATATTACAGGTCTGCAGGTGTGTAAATATAAATAGTCACATGTTATAGGGAGATCGAACATACAGTCACCGGTGACTGTAATTACAAGTTGTGATGTTTTTTTCCCAGAACCAAGTCAGTTATAATAATATGCCCGACATAGCGACGATAATTATAATCTAGTGATTATGCGTTTTATGCCAAACAAAACAATCTCGATTTAATGAAGAGCGTAAAAGAAACTCGGATATTAACCAGACATAAATATATTCCTTAAATGAAGACGAGAAAGTTGCCGACGATGATCTTTAACCGATTATTCAATCCTCCCATGATCAAGAAATAGTTGTTATGGTAAACGTCCTGACAAACCCGACAAACCCCGGTGAATCTGGCTAATTATGCACAAAAAACTATTGTATTACGCAATTTTGCTGTCATGGATAAAAAATAGTTTGCTATCTGAACAAATTTGTGCTCGTTAAATGCGTCTAGTGGCTTTTGTTACATTTATGACAATAGCACATTGAGATTCTAATGGAGATAGGAAAATCCAAAGTCACGTTACTGCTATATTAAAAGCCTATATTGACATGAGCGCTTTTGTTATCGATATCATCACTACCAGAGGTCAGTTAATTAGCTGATGCTATTGTCTTATTTACTAATCCAGTTAGTCTGTTGTGGCTAATGTGGCTTTAAATCACAAGAGTACCGACTTTTTTAGACACTACAGAGTTACTGTAATATCAAACGATTATCTACGAGGTCACGTTGATATCATATTGTATGAGTGCTTTTGTCATCACTGTCAATAGATCAGTTTAATACATGCTACGCTGATACTATTGTTTTTATTTACGGAAACAATTATTACAGTCACGATATGATGTAATGATGTGTTAAACAACATTTATACTTATAAAACAATGTCAAGCAATATCAATGTGCCATTCGTTGTCATTTAACATGCAGTCATGCGAACACGTGTACATACATGCATACATACAGTACATACATATATATACCCAGACGCTACTTTTCATTACTAGTTGACTTCATCAATCTCTTACTCTGCAGACTTTGATGTGGCAAATACGCAAATGTTACACATGAATATCATTATTTTGGCATGATTTTTACATTTCACCAATACCCACAACTCTCCCAATGAAGCGCTTTGCCTGTTTCTTCTTCCGCTCGTTTATCTAAATACAATATAACTTATTTTCCACATTTTCCTGCCTACTATCTCACATTGGCCGTACTCCAGTATCATATCCACCAGACGTCACAATAACTCATGACCCCAAACCAATATTAAACCCCAAACTAAAATCCGAAAAAGACAATACGCTTTTAACAATATCTGGCCCGAATAGCACACATACGCTCCCAATAAAACCATTTATAATCCTGAATTTCTCCCATCCAGTCTTACGATCCAATCCAACATCAACACAAGAATCTAAACTAACGATCAGATCAGCTAATGAATCCGCTTAAAAAAGAGCAACGTATTATGTGGGGTACTACACGAGCATTGATCGCTAATTATGTTACTGGAGCTACCGAGGGACACGGAGTACCATTACATTTGGATATAGGGCGGCAATTGAGCAAGACAAGCTCGCGTTGAGAGTAGGTAGAACACACCCAGACATCTTGGACATACCTGAAGGCGTTAGCCAAAGCCGACCAAGATTTTGCTGAGTGGATCAGACAAGAGGATCGTCCGCCGTGCGTGATTAGGACTCTAAGTCTCTGTAAGAAACACAAGTGACTATTTAGTTTATTACGTAATTAATATGGGGGCGGTGACTCAATCACGTAAACATTTACATATTACTATAATAACGGAGAACAGGTGTTTTACGTCAAAACGATTAATATCCGACACTCGGATAATCGATTTTTGTATTGAATTTTTATAAAAACTTTAAAAACGATTGAACCCCAAGCTTTCGGAATTACGCGAATCGCTAATGGAAGTGTACATATTGTCTCACGATCCGTGGACCGTACAAGTCGTACATGAACATGCAGCCGAGAAGATGATAAGCGATATGTTACAGAATACAATATGCGATGTGCCAGATGTCATAACACTTGTCTGGGAAGGTATTATATGTCAGACATGTCAATGTCGACTGGTCCGAGTTGTCAAACTCACCAAGTTATCCGGTCGTTGTATTAGATGTGTTATTGAAGACGGATTCATCCGAGGTCATAAAGTTGCCTGCACCACCAACGGGTTTAGTAGCGCATTGTTTGTTCAAAATCTGTCAAGAGATTTGTACTGTTCAGACAAATTGCGACTCTGCCTAGTTTGAAAAAGCGGAAATCTGTCGTTTTGAATTAAAAAGTATTGGAGCACTTTTGATTACTGATGCAGTTGCAGCTAATCATGACGCATCGCAGGTTGCCCTCAAGAATCTGTTGATGTCTCTTTCAACAACGATTTTTACTTGCTATTCTGCATTCGTATCATCACCCTCCTTCGCAAAAGTTTCCGAGAAGAGCTCTGTTCAGATGTCAAGTTTTTGACAAAAGTATTTGAAGGATGATGGTTGGCTTCTGATGGTTTGGGCTATGAGACAGACGATGCTTCTCAGGCTGGAAACAAACACGAGGAAGAGATAAAACTTCAAAGAGAACACTACAACTTGGTTAACAACGTCTTGACTATGATCAAAGGAAAAGTAAGTGATGAAGTGTTGAATTTTCCGAATGGGAGATGGTGAAGTAGAATTAATTTACCTCTTTACTTGTTTAATCTATTCCTACCAGATTGACCGAATTGATTTGGCAGTATTTGAGCCATACATTAATAATAGTAAAACAATATGAAAAAATAATAATAGAAGAGTACATTGTTAATCGTAATAATATCCTGTTATATTCAAAATTCTTGACAACCACACCACACAAAATCGTCCAATTAGGTATACAATAATTAGTTATAAATATAGTTCGTAGTCTGTAGCTAAAAATCATCTGCATTCCCTGATAACAGATACTTAGCGTCGTTGAAGTGTAAACTGCTTTCCCCGTCATCGGCAAATAGAATCAATACTTGCCAATTAATTCTATTTAGTACTTTTGCATTCAGGATTATTATTTAATTTTACTAGTAGTTTTAGATAAGATAAATTCCCCGAACCAATAGGCTTTGAGATTAACGAAATTTACTCGAGGTTACACAATAATCCGGACAGCGTATGCAAGACCGATAATATAAGATCGTGAGTATAAATCCTAATTCAAAGGTTACTAATTGTATAGATATTTAGTTTAAAGTAGGAAGAGCGAAAACTTCCGTTGGAAAAAAACTAAATCCCAAAACGGCTAGTGCACTGCTGCTCCCTAGTCCGACATCTTATGTATTTCTTGATTATTGGTTATGCCATATTTTTTTTTCATTTTTTGATAAGTAGAAAGACAGAATAACATGTGTGTTATAAACAAAAACATGCATCAAGTGTTGTTGTTTATTTTACTTTTTCAATGATGTGAATTGGATTGTTTTTGGAAAAGTATACACGTTTTTACCAAACAAAAAAAATCTCCTTTTTTTGTTACGCACTGTATGTGTGATTATTATTATATGCCTTCAGAAATGATTATATTTGGTAACTGTTATTATACAAACCCACAACATATGATAATAATAATGTTGGAGGGAGTCCATAACGGCTTCAATAAATTATTTAGTAAAATGTGCAACTAATTCTTGGCTAACACTAAACATTTGTTCTAGCTGGCAATATCCCAGAGAATTTGCTAATCATTGAATCACAATGCCAACTTGAATTTCAATAGGAGGTTGAGATCGAAAGGGTGTGTATAAATAGTTAGGATGTTACTGTAGGATACTAAGCAGCTGTGATGCTACGCAAATCGGTGACGTATTCTCTCCTGAACGACGATGTCGCAGCAACCAATGCGATCGACAGTAACACCAGCGCAGCTGCGGAATTTGGTAGTAGGGAAACACACATGTTGTATGTCCATTCCGAATGTATGTCAGATTGGAATCATAAAGACAATCAGGTAACAACATCATAAAATTATTTTATTAACATTACTGCATTGATAATTATGAGGGTGGCAGTTTAAGTTACAAATGACAGCAGCTTTGCGACAAGCACATCGAGCCGTTAAACAACTAGTCTTACAAACTATCATTGTGACGTGTCGATTACAGACAACGTTTTGAATAACCAAACAAGTTGTGATA